CTTGGTAAGATAAACAAAACCTGTGGTGATGCAAGGTGTTGATAAGGAAGCGTGAGACGAAGTTGTGGTGCAACTGAACTGCAAGCCCGATCTGTAAAGGTGCGATAACGACACGTGGCCGTGCAGCTTGAACAATGGCCTGCCCGATTGATGCTACCTTCAACGAATTATTTTTTTCTGAGATGAGAACTCCCAGAAATGCAGAAAGTGTGGCAGGAAGAAAGTGGACATGAGATTCAGCATTGGTGTCTATCATGGGGTAGTTGCCACTTGAGGTTGCAAGTGATTTGAGGTCGTTTTTTATCAGCCTAGCTGCTGTTTTGATGTTCATTTTTTGTTCTTCGATATCCACATCATCCTTCTGTACGTAAAAGGCAGGCAGCACCCAAGTGCTGCCTGCTGCATGCAAGGGCAGTCAACAGGGCTAGGTTAGGAGGACCGTGAGATGGGTGTCAGAGAGAAACAGCTGCTGCCACAGCATGTCCACATGCCAAGCTCCTAGAGGGTAGATTAGCAAGGGAAAGTGGTCATGGCCACTGTTGTTCACCCAAGCTAAATGACCCAGGCATCGCTTCAGTGTGGATCAGCTACTATATGCTATTTGCATTTCTTGTATAATTTTTTTTGGAGATTTCAGACCCCTCATTGAGCCGGTTAGACAAGATGTTATCTAACGTCAAGAGGCTGTCATTTGTTACTGGATATCATTGCGACCCCTCTTTGCCATAAACTGGTGGACATCTAGAATTTAACGACTTGAGAAAAACGTGAAAAGAAACCGAAGTGCTACCTGGGAGCACTTGTGAAAATCAAACACATGATTTTTTTAGCCATTAAGCTGTCAAATAAACCAATGCATGTGTTAAAATGTTGGACTGAAACAGTCGCTATTATCATACTGCAAAAAGCAGACGCACCCGATTATAATTTATCCACAATGTCCCTATAACCAAAACTTTTTGGAGTCTAATACATTGTCTGAATTTTGCCATGCCATGCCCCAGAATTCTTAAAAAGAACTTGAAAAGTATTCCATGTCATTCGGAGCTGCCTGCTGAAGAATTAACCTGGGATAGTATGGTCAAGATGCGACCCTTTCAAAATTAAAAAAAACTGCACGACTTGTTTTCTTTCCAAACAGCCTAAGGTTACCTGTGATCAGGCTTCTTTTTTAGTTTTATTTTCGCTGTAAAAAGAACGCCTGATTGCGGGTTACGCGTAGTGTGACCCTTGCTTAGTGCAAAAAAGTCTGTTATTAGGTGTCAAATTCTGCAAGGCCAAATGAAGACCGGAACCCAAGCCGACCTATATGTTTCATAAACATTTGCAAGACCACAACAGCTACCCTAATTCTATTTTGAGCATTTTTAAGTGCCCTTTGTTCGTATTAGTATGAAAGTTAACCCGGTATCATGTTAATCAAACATGCTTCAGTTATTTTGTATTTAGAGGAGCGACCTGAGAGAGTGTTTTTTGAAGGTATGGTCATCAGATCTGGGCATCGGTGGGCAATGATATTTTGGCGCCAATGTTAAATAAATTAAATTTCAACTTGTGCGTGCTGGCAGAACTGAAGACTTCTCACAGTTGCTCTTGTTCCGCTTTGAGAACGAGTCAATTTATGGCAGGCCTAAAAAAAGAACTGTTATTCTGGTGTTATGTGCCGCTCAAGAAACTGAGACGCGATAAAATTTCGCTGCTTTGCATTGCAATACAGTTCTTTCAGGATTTGCGTCAAAATGGCAAAAAAATACAAACACCAAAAGATTGCATCATTTGTAACCCTGGAAATCCAAGTTACCTTTTTCTTAAAACAAGCTTTGTGAATGTAGAAACAACGGAATGTTAAGCTACGTATAAAATCTTGTTTGTCTCCCTGCTCAGGACGCGTTCAAGCCGAACTCATACAAATAAACTATATATGTTTGTGCGCACTATTAGACTAAGAATAACTTGATTGGAAATCATAGAAATGAAACACGAAAGTTGCTCACAGAATTCCACCCTTTAGACTTCAAGACGTAAATTTTGTAGCAAAACATCAGGGACACCTGAGGGAACGGTGGAATATCTTTTTGGAAGACGTGTAAAATCAAAGGAAACAACAGCTCATAAGTTCAGATAATAAGATTTTGTTCTCTTAAAGTTTCTGCCACATTACCATTATTCTAAAAAATCCGAGCAAAACGAACTGTTCAATTTTCCATAAATATAGCCCAAAAACGATATAGTGAAAAACAAAGCAATGACATTCTGCAA